GCATACCACTATTCCGTCTAGCTCCGGTCCGTGCAAATCTCACATTGCTTTCTAACAGTAGATGAAAATTATTTGAGCGAAAGTGAACCAAGGGTCAATAAAAAGGCACCGAATTCGGAGTAGGTCACATACAGCAAGAGCACGTAACTAAGAAGGTCTCCAAGAACGTCAGTGGTGGCAAGTAAGGAACACGCCCTTAGACAATAAGAACAAGACAGAATCAACTATTCGATAGCCACCTACCGGATCTCGTTTCAACTTTTCCACAAACTCGTCTGCAAGTGCGATTATCTCAGTCTCGTAAGAAGGCACAGCTGGTCTCTGTGGTGATGGTGATTTGGACCCCGAGTGTAAACTAGCACCAAGTGAGCGGTGAGTTGTCGATTGACGTTTGACCAAAGGAATGGTTGCCGTACACGTTTCACCAAGCCGCCCCCCAGAAGAGGGTGACTTGTTGTTAGCTTCGTGAGGAAACCGTTCAGCATCGACGGTGGTCCCGTTTGCTAATTCTAAAACAACAGCGTACCACAACGAAAGAAGTGAAGGAATGAAGATTGCGTCATGGAGATCAACTTTTTTCAAAAAAGCGCTAAAGAGAATGACCGACTTGCAATTGGTGTGGTGAACCTCAACTAGAGATTCCTAAAACTGACTTTTAAATAACTACAGAAATAAAAGTAGAAATTCACAAACATATACACTTACTTCAAAGGGTGGTACAGGCAATGAATGGAAAATTTTAATTCGCGTCATGGCAATCATTAGGTACACGAATGGGTATGTGTATTGTGATAAATTACTCACGCGGAGAGCCGGCGTTCATTGGTGAGCGTTGGTGATGTTGAACTTCATTTGTGGCATCGCAGTTCCAGCTGTTCATGTCATCAAACTCCATGGAACCATGCGTATTGTCTCTCTTCAACTGCTGCTCGGCTGGAGTCTCCCCAACTTGCACTTCACGTGCTGAACCATTTAACGACACATCCTCTCGAGAAGTTGAGGTTGCTTCACGGACGAGATGAAAGCGGGTTACCTTCTTGTCTTTCTTTGGTCCACCCTTCGCCAGGATACCATCCGTGGGACGCTCCGCGCTGGTAGACCGTAAAATTCCAATACCTGAATCCGATCGATGTTTGTTCGCAGTAGAGAGAATATTGCGCTCAGGTGTAGACTGTAAGGCCGACTGATGGACGCTGTTTCGGCTAACAAAGTAAGCACGATAAGGCATAGCTATCCACGACAGTACAAATAGCCCTGGTACAGAAAAAGGACTGAAACATCATGGAAACCGGGAATATCCTGATGCAGAATCACATGAGTGCCTCAACTGTAATAGGCCAGATGACTTTCGTTAGTATATGATAGTGAGTAGTTAGTATATGATAACTAACAGGGAAAATGGAGTGAAACTGTTTGAATTCTGTCAAGGAAGTTGGCGTTGTGGTCCACACAGTTGCAACACGTCCCTTTTATGAAAAACACATTCACAGCTCAGCTAACTAAATCCATCTATATAGTTCGCTTTATTTGAACCACGCCTTATTTGGCTATCAGAGCACTTTTCTGAGTACAGATAACCCTTCTTGGGGAAAGCACGGTCACGAAGAATCAGGTAATTCGAGTAATCCCGTGGGCTTACCCTTGGAAGCATCGCCCATCAAATCATGGCTGACGACGAGTGCTTCTGTAGACGCAGTAGAAATGGGTTTTCCATGGAGAGAACATTGCACAACGCTACGAATGACGGCAGACACCCTGATAACATCAAACATAATCCTAGTTATGGACCACGGAAATCCATCGAAGACATGTTTAGTGAGTTGAGTGAATCAAGCTGCAATCGCCCTAAAAAACATTCGGTCCATTCTGCATCTTCTGCGTACTGCAGGAATTGATACCCATATTCAGGTTGCAATCGTTGGAACCATCAACCTACCGACGGATGGACTAAATACAACGAATTTAAAGATCTGAATCATTATGATAAGATTGGTCGGTATCAAGCGAATAATGTCAACCAAGATATTTCGTACTTTAGGAATGACAGATGTGAGTTAAGCATAATTTAAACACAACTTGGAACAGCGGTGAGGGACACAAGGGGGCATCAACGTCAACTCAACCTAAGATATCATAAAGAAGCTTACAGCTTCGAGACAACTTGTGACAGACTGATTGTGTGTAAGGCTTCCAGACTCATGAGTGTTGTCCTTTTATCCTGCAGAAGAGGGGCCGAGCCGATTGTGTTTTTCCAGCGTGAAGGTTGTCTTCAGATTGGTTGAGCTTAAGTTCTAAGTAGAATTTAGCAAAGCAACCTAACATCTCAGAAAGATCGCGGACGAAGACGCTGCGTCTGACCTCGGATGTGTGTGTGGCTAATTCTGTCTCAAGGCACCTGAGAACCAACAATCGGATGGGTCGCTGTATCTACGATTGCGAAAATAGGGCTTCGTAATAAACCAATCGATAGACTGAACGAGACGACTGAAACAAAGACGAAAAGAAGCAGCTTCGTACCTTCGCAAAACCGGAGGATCGTATTGGATATCCGCATTTCGATTGCCATTGAAGGCCATCGAGCCATCCACAAGCGACATTTTTTCAATCCGTTCCTCTGCTCGTTGGAGACGATCGCGCAGAGAATTTTTACCCAACTTCGATATAAACGATGTGGTCAGACTAGAGAACGATGAATTTTCAGCGATCTCTTCCAACAGCTCGAATTCCTCTAAATCACTAACCTCATTGTGAAGACCATTTTGTGACACTGATGAGTTCGGAGCAGGTAGCTTCTCAATATTGCTGGCGGAACTGGCAGGTGAATGCGAATTTAGCTGCTGCTCAGCGATTTCAATCTTAGAGTTGCTGATGGACTTTTTCCATGGCATCAGTCCACACAATAAACCCCCGGCCGGATCTTGCAATGGAGATATTTGGGTCGGTGGAGAAAAGCCACCCACCACGTTTTGCGAATGAGCGTGAGGCAAGCTGTGTCGCTAAAACGGAATGACAGGCACCAGAATTGGTGGGAAACAGGGTAGATATGTAATGCAAAGTTTTCAAAACAAGCAGATAAATACTTAATGGATGCGAACCATGGGAAAAGAACTTCTAAGAAACAATTGGAAAGAGCAAAGGGTGTGATGCACCACGTAGTAAATAGCACCTCTCTCAAAGCGGATCATCATAACGGAGTTGCCCTACAAAGGCAATTATTCCGCACTCGACATATCACACCTTCTAGGTGCAAAATTGTCAAAGACCGATTTTCCTCCTCAAATTAACTACGTATGATGAACACTGCGGAGTACTCATAAGCCCGAAAAGTTTTTGAAAATAACAACGTCCTAATATTCACATATTTCGAGCATCCGAATGTTTGGTGAGCTCTCTCAGAATTTTCTTCACAAAAAGTGAGGTCGGACAAGGACATCCACTCTCTCGATTCTTAATCAACTTCATCGTCGATAAAATAGTGAGGCGAACGCTGGAAGGTATTCAAAAACCGGTGTTCAAATCGTTGCTTATGAGAACCCGGTCGATCTGGAGTGCGAAGACAACATCATCCCCAACTCTGAAAATGAAGGCCAGGCACAAGTTCTGTTGAATAAACTGAACACCAGCGTACCACTTTCCCGCATGCATCTTGCACTTTCACAATACAAATTAACGCCAATTTACGTCACTTGTAGCGTCCTTGGGTCTCAAGGGTAGCGTGTATCAGTGTGGATTGTATTTTTGTATACTTCTTTGACGTGGTTTCTGTAGACCAATGGTGTGAGGAGTCTTCTGGTTTTTTACCACTAATGTCCCATAAGGGTTGCTGGCGTCGGATACCGGATGTCAACGAATTCACAACGAGGTAATTAGAAAACAGGTATTTTGTTGTGCGGAAAACACCCAGTACCACCAACCGCGATAGCTCCGCACGCATGCCGAAAAGTTGTCTACCGAGACAAGTCTTGTTCTTCGCGTCCGAAACAGGCCACGAAGAGTTTAAGTGATGTTCGTCCGGTCAGCCTTCCAGCCGGGGTCTCCGACACCCTTTGCGCTTGGCTGGTAATGGTGGCGACTAATCGATGTCACTGTTGTACGAGAATGTCCGACTGAGCGTACAGAGATCCAGGAACCTCAGAGTTCTTGCGGTAGGATAGCATTACGCCTCTTATTCACCCACTCTTTTCTCTTCTAATCACTTAAAGGCAAAAGGTAAAATGAACTTTGTAGTTGTACGTAGCAACATTGTCAACAGTGATGTTGCTATCTCTGATGTTGACTAATGACAAACAAGGTTACAAAATCTGTCACGCAAGGTAGGTCGATAATAAGTAAACTCACCTGGTTTGGCTGTACGAAACCAACTGAGTTGTTCTGAATGATGGATGACTGAACTGTGTGTTGCTTTTTGCGCAGTTCTCCAGCTGGATCGCGAACCGGAAGCCCTTGTCGCCTTATTTTGCTGCACCAAGCTGCCATGCCTTGACGACGTTTGAGAAAAGGGGCCGGTTTGGTTATTACGACCCGTGGAGGGATAGGCCTCTTATGAGTAGTACCACCACTGTTTTTCTCGCGCTCGTTCTGCGATGCAAAATTGCGAAGTACAGGTAGACTAAAAAGGCTCACTTAAATAATTCCCAAACAATGTACGGCGCTGAGTTATCAACAGGAGGCTCCATGGCATCTACTTTTTTACACACTTTAAACCTAGTACTTCTAGAATTTACAGACAAGAGTGCACAAATATGAACAAAACCGCTAGAGTCACTTGTTGTAATAAAAATGGGTCAGTAAACCGAAATCGTATTTTATGGTGACCTGTTTCTTATTCAACAGTAGAGTGCATGAAAATTTCCATTCAACTAGCTATATCTGCGTCGGTAACTTCGTATGTTCGGTATGAATAATCAAGCACTTTAGACGCTTTGGTTGCGGCGACACATCAGTAAAGTCCAGCAACAAACCAGAAGTGAGCCAAAAACGCACTTTATTTTTGTGCTGAAAAGCAGTATCAGTAGTCGTGTACTTGTCTCTTGTAAAACTCGAGGTGACCAACATAGTAATCCATCGCTATTACCGTTCGGAAAAAACGGAATGAATTCTATCCCCTGCCATCGACGTTATTGAGTGCGGCCATATCAAGGAGTCATTAATTGAAGGGCCGCAAACTGTATTCAAGTTTAATGAAGAACTTCGGCGGGGCGACACTTTCGGTCGCAGACTGCTTTAACTCTGCCAGTATTTGGGCTGCTCCGACCACCAGGGTTGTTCCAATTTCTCCATTACCCCCTCATCCCTCATTATGACGCCATCAAAAGTAGTCCACCTATGATTCCAAGTCATTGATTTGAACCAACTCGTTTTTCCTTGGTCAAAAAGCGAAAAATATGGACACAAGACGGGTTAGATCAGCTGACTAACTGACGTTCCCAGACTTGAATCTCTGACAAGGATGAAGATTATTGACAAGTTAAATCAAGTTTTACTGATATAAATTATAGCATTCAAAACAAAATATAATATACTGTCGGGTATATGGGTAGTCTTCCTGCCTTCCTCAAAAGTTCATAAGCCAAAGCGGAACAGGTGTATGAAAAAGCTTAGATGTTTCATACTCACATAGTAAATAATGATAGCAGCACACCAATGCCTCGGTCCTCAACACACTAACATGACATACCGAGTTAAGAGTTCTTATGACAACAGATTGGATGTGTCGGGTATTGGGTAGTCTTCCTGCCTTCCTCAAAAGTTCATAAGCCAAAGCGGAACAGGTGTATGAAAAAGCTTAGATGTTTCATACTCACATAGTAAATAATGATAGCAGCACACCAATGCCTCGGTCCTCAACACACTAACATGACATACCGAGTTAAGAGTTCTTATGACAACAGATTGGATGGTTACTCGTACTGTGAGGAAATTTGAGACTTTTGATGGAAATTTCTTCACATTACGAACCCTCACGGGAACGATAAAATTCACCCGATGAGTGAAGCTTCCATCTGATAAATCGTTCCTTGGGGAACCAGTCAACCAATGTGACCTGATGTGGACCCTGTGATCGAAGGATGAGCAGCATTATGTCCTCTCTAAATGCGAGTTAATCACACTGCTGACCAGGCACTCGTGGCCGAACGGTTGTGTCCAAAAAGCTGTGCTCCTCGGTTTTCCAGCATAGATTTGCTTCACTTATCTTCATCGAGATTGAACAATACCAACTTCCACAGATATACATACGTTCTGTTCTACTAAGAGACTGACAATATGCACGCAGCGACATAGTGTACTGGTGGCAGATCACGATGACCGGAATGACGATACCGTCAATGATTCGTCACTTGCCCTATGGTTCCAGCTGAACAGATGTCACCGTGTGTGAACACTGGACTATGACACGGGAAATCTCACAACAAATTGGCACGTGGATCAGCTGGAATGTTTACGGTTTTTGGGAGTCAGTGTCCATATAACTGTTCTTATTACAAAGTTTTGTTAAAGATAGTAAAGTCTCCGAAACAAACCCCTTCAAAACGAGATGTGTTTCGTATGGCGAAACTTTTTTGACTAGGACCTTTTACCGTAAGGAGGCTACTACAGGAGCGGATAGTGCCTTATCACCAACCAGATTCGCCCAGCCTCTTTCTCGGAAACAAGTAGGACCTGAACATCATCATGTTTAAAGCAATCAGACGGTTTAGCAGAATTTCTCCTGTGGCATTTGGTTAGCGGGGGGGGGGGGGAATGCCCACGTAAACCTAGTTTCGTTCGTGAAACTGGAATTGGATCAAACTGCATTGGATTACCCAGCCAGCAAAAGCTTACTTTATTTGTTTCGTTTCTCGAACTTTCCTCCGCCTTCATGAAATCTTCGGGATTTTCTCGGCGCCCAGGACTTTGCGGTTCCTAGAGTAAGCGAGAAAAGCGAAACTGTGTGAGAATGAACTCTTATTTAGACAAGAACTTGTGAGAAACAGAAATGTGAGGAAACAGATCCAATAAACGTGTCGTTGCGATAGCTGGATCGTTATTCACCACACAAGAGTTCGACACAGGTGTACCGGTTTCGCTCACTTCCAACGCATCTGTCAGAATAAAAGCAACCTCAAAAGGTATGACGTTTTCGGTAGTTGCAAGCAGCATGCTTGATAAAAAGTTGCTCTGAAAAACTGTTGCCCGTGATATATATATATATATATTATATCAGCCATTTGTCCTGTCTTGGGTCAATGCCACATCCAAGCAGCTTAGCTTCTCTTGTGACAACATATGTGACAGCGGTGTCCTGATCAACTACATAACTACATAGGCTATCGCTGATTGTTCGATAGCGGCCAAGCCTCCAGAAGTATTAGCGATATTGGAAGCAGATGTTCACTCTGTTATAAAAACCAGGCCATGGTCAGCCACTTCAGCTGAATTATGTTTACCCCGCTCTGTCTTCCACAGTTTATGAGGCGTGCCAACAGTGTCTAAATCAGCGTCACCCGCACGTCGTTAGGTGTGTTTACTCTGTCCTGACAAACGCGCCATGGATAATTATTTTCCAAACTTCACTGCAGCTGTCATATCGCACTCTCGTAATAAGCCATTTGTTCTTTTCCGAATGCCCAGCTATAGGTTGCAAACAGCTAACCTAACAAGTTGAGAAGAGTTAAATACTGTTGACCAGCGTTTGTGTTGATCCACTGCCAGATCGTTAGCACTGAGAGTGATACTAAAATGGCTGGTATGTCAGGGAAATTAACATACTCAATATGGAGTTGAGTATCTATTGGAATTCTGTACTAAGCAGTCTGGAAGTCGGAGGATCCGTTCACTCCGAGGGGTTCGTTCCTACATGGAGCTACATTTTATGGATGTCCGGGCAGCCTCCGACTCAGTTGACCTCAACGACCTATAGAACCTCATTGCCGTTATCATTTACAGTAGCAAGAGAAAACTGGCGTTTCAACGTCGTTTAACTATCTATATATTTGAATAGCCATATAAGATAAAGAGTAAAAATGGGATTTAGCGCTAGCTTATCACAAACATCTGCGGTGCTTGCACTTCCAACACTCAGCCAGATGTTTCGGATAAACTGAAGGCCTGAATGCTATCGACATTGATTACTCGCCATATTATTAGGTGTCTCTATCTCAGCACATGTATCAATTTGGCACCGTCCTGGAAAACTAACAGCACAAACAACGTCAAAACTTTTCGTGACGTCATTCCATTCTGCTATATCATATTTCGTCCAGTTATGGGTTTCCACCATCCCGAATCGGGTGCGGAAAAAACCTCGTCTCGATAAAAAAAACTCGGCATGCGTAAGGCAGCTCAGCCACCGAAGCTTTCAGTGCTAGATGCAACCCTCCAGGGAAATGCTTTCTACTTCACCGTTTCTTGATCACCTCACTGCTGATTCACAGGCTCCGACCAACCCCAGTTATAGTTCTAAGACACTGGTAGTCAAATACGTTAGAGTGACGCTCCCGCAAGGAGTCGTCGAGTCTCGAGGACGTACGACAATACAGCCTGCACTGTAGTCCGATAATTCGTCTTTCTAGACCCACTGATATGCCTCCTTGATGGTACAGGTGGCGCAGACTGACAGAAATAATTCCGGTCTTTGAGGCTCGTTTGTTACAATCCCGCCAGAGATAATGCAACTCCAAAGGCACGTACGTTGCAATATAACTACCGATGTCCCTCCTTAAATTCTTAGAGGCATATTCAAACACTTTACACCGGAGTATGATGCTGCACTTTGTGAGCGCAAAGCAAATGTGGTACATGTTACAAACTTTTGATGGTGGAAGCCTGACTTCGGGGATCTGGTGATGTTTGAACGTTCCAGGATTAAACATATGGGTTATTGATATGTTCAGTCACTGTAGTAGCAGCGGCTGTATCGATTCCCGTGGATGTCGTAGGATGGGCAGAGTTAGGAAATGTTAACATATTTCCACGAAGTGTCAAAGGGATTTCGAGCGCACTTTGCACCAAGTATCATCAGGTCTTTCACTTAGGAAGAAATCTTTGCACATTCAGATGTTATTTGCAATGCAGTAGATTTCGTAGTATCAAATGTTTGGCGGCACTTCCGACGCTGGCGTGTCCTTGGACACGTCTAACATACAGCACCATCATTACTGCTATCGCATACAGGCTTCAACTTCTTCCGCCCGTTATCACAATCATTTACAGCTGCCAAAATATCAGCCTTCTAGATTCTTCCCATTTAATTCAGCCCACTTTTCGAAAACAGCCGTTTGCGACCTATGTGTTACCCGGTCCTAACATCCAAGACGATGAATTTTGGTAAATATCACTCCTGCCTTGGTGATACTTGCAGTGAATTAATTCGTCGCAGTGCAGTCATTGTTTAGGTAGCTGTCAAGAGAAGTGCACCCTCATGATAAACTCGAATTCCTCATTCCCAAGTTTTAAAGAGATATATAGAAGTGGGAAATCCTGGGGTGAAACGTACTTTGAAGGCATGGATCACAGGATTAAACAAGGGGCCACTTCCAACGTTCTGATTATGGTGATCGTCAGAGGCAGTGACATCATATATACCTCATATATGCCCTTGGCTGAAAAGTAAAGTGGAGGGACGCATCGCTAGCTTATCGCTTAGCTGCAGCACCATTTCGGTGGCTGCCATCCCACCAGAAGGAAGTACGACGGCTGGGATATTGCCAGGTTGCCCAAGCCTAGACTGGAGAAGTCGAGAGACGGAGGTCAGGTTCGAACCACGGACATACCGAACAGTAAATTCGCGCTCTAACCCCTGAGCCATCTCGCCCCTGCTACTAGCCTATCAAAGGCATTCCGAGATGCCTACACCTGTAAGTGTTCGATCAGACGATTTGGAAAGAAACTGACAATATGAACGCCACGAACAGCGATTAGTCGCTATTTCCTGCAACGTTTACAGCCAAGTGCAAGGGGAGTCACAGAAATCACCACCATCACTATTCCCCTCAATGTGATTCTCGATTACGGTAGTGAAGCATCGGTTTTGAACACTGATGTCATGCTGTCGATGATGATGATCCGTCATTCCTTGGATCGTACGCTGTATGGTGATATCAGTGACGGAGCTGCGCAAAAATACGGGAAGGGGCCAAGTCTGACGAACCTCACTAGTTGTGAGAAAACTTTTGGACGGCTCCTTGTGCACCCTAAGGCGATCAGAACTATCTATATAAATTGTACGAAAACTTCACAAAATTCGAGAATATTTTGTTGGCCACGCGCATGTAGAGTCCAAGATTCTTTTGATATCAAGGAAAACCTCCAGTCAGTTGACGGTAAGCGTGACGTTGCCCAAACACTTGATATAATGTACTCCATACCTGCTGGAAGTCTTGTCTGGTGCTCTCAGATTTGGGTCTCGCGTGGTGAGGTCGTTTTACAACTCGGCTGAGGCTGATATTCTTATGAGTGGAGCGGTCGTTCCTATGGACTCTTCGGCATGAAAGTGAAATGACTGGTTTAGTTAGCTGGAACGCATTATTGATTAAGGCGATACAAAAACATTCACCGCCATGTTTGAAGAACGAAGATAAGAGTTCATTTGGTCCTGTTGTTTGATAGCGCTTCGAGGCGAAACAGCATACTTATGTTAGAAATCGGAGTACCGTCTAAATTTAAAGAACAATGCTCGAATTTGGCGGCCCAAATGAAACGCAGAGGGTCAACTGAACCGGTGTTGAAAATATGTAGCCCAAATATTGTCCTGCTGTATAGTAAAATTCCAACGTTATCCTTCATGGCTTGACTAACAGCCGATCCCGTCTTGTGAAAAATTTTCCGGACACGCTCAGCTCCACTAGATTCCAAAGTGTTTTGAATGCGCTAGGTTTCTCCATTCACATGCAGTTTATGCTCGGGCTGGCGTGTAACAACCCTTCTGGATGAATTGTCCTTGGCATTCAAAAAGATAATGCCTAGCACGGAGAATACCAACAGTTCTGAAATCCAGTGGTTATTGTCGGACCATCAGGGGATCCACACAGCGAGTTTCCTGCTGTGTGAAGAGCACTGTTTACCTCATCATGCTTATGATTGGCGCCACCTGATGATGCGGTCATTAAAGCTTTCACAAGGACTAAATCGGAAAGGTTTTCGATAGCTAAACGAGGTGTTCTCCTGAATCTCCCCTGAAAACACGCAAAAATTCCTCACTTGAGCATATGAATGGACATAAGTGGCCCAGAAAGATTCATAATCAAGAATAAGGCCTTGCTCCCGGATACTAATGGCTATATGGTCAATGTGGCTCCATGATCATTCACTAGTAGAAGAGCGCTAGGTGGCGCTCGAGGATCAGTACAAGGCTGCATAGGACGACTAACAGCGTCATTACATTTAGAGTTCAAGCTAAACAGACTGAGTCGCGCCATTGACGTACTAAGAAGTTCTAACTGCTCATTGAGTCCGCTGCCGACCAGGACAATATCTGAACTCATGCTGGGCAGAAGTGGGTAGTTCCCGATAAAGTGTATCTCATTGAATCATAGCTAGGGGCAGCTAGTGGATAAGCAGAAACTACAAGTAAAGAATGGACGATACCTCGGCTAGTGTGGATTCTTATGAAGGTTGGCAAATAAACAGCACAAAGGTGGTTGTCTACGATGATCCGGTTGAATAACGAAGCCTCAATTACGGAGCTAAATCCACCGCAGTAGTCCACTTCAGTAGATGTAGAATCGCCTGAATATCGTAGATAACGAAGGCACCGTATGAGCGATTACCACAAATAAAGCCTGTTTCTGGGTTTCGGAGGGGCGGCAAATATTTATCAGCCGAGTGTCGAGAATATGAGTCAGGAAAGTTTGCGAGGAAATCTGCTCCAGAGTATGCTTCGCGCACTAAAATTCGTGACAAACACAGGAATACGTTCACGCACGTATTCCAACCCACAACCTGAAGGGTCATAAGAATGACTGACTTCTATCCATCGACCAACCTGGTACACGAGACCCAGTGAACGTCACACGGACAGCCACCAGTAAAATTTAATTGTCATTGTCACACTACAGTAAAGCACGGTCTCACTGTGAGATGCATAGGACAGAATTGAGAAAACCTTCGTTTTCAATCCATCGGTAATCAGAAAAGTGAATTTCTCAACAATTATTAGTTCGTTCGATACGCATCAGTCACTGTACACTCAAACAGTGTAATCCTCGTTCAAACGGATGACCAGTGAATACACTCATTTAGAGCTCAGAAAGAAGGCAATGGTACACTCTCGTGTCGTATTTCGCAGGGATTTAGAGATAGCTTCGTATTTGGCTGAAAGGATGGGTCTCGGCTGGTGAACTGCAACTTGCCTAGTATTGTGTTTCAGATTAATGTAATTTTGGCCATTACGTGGAAAGTAGTTTGGGTTATCTTGATTCTGAACTAGGAAAATCAGTGCTCACTCACGCCATTTAACCCAAACGACGAGACACACGGAATTATTATGGCATTCCACTGTAGCATGGCGTCTTGACACAAACTTTATGTTCTTGCTTCATCCAGTTCAAGAAGCTTCGAAAATACACGACAGCTAAAAGGGGAAGCGGGGAAATGCTCCAAGCAAAAAGAGGGAGATATGATTATTACTGTGTTTCCGTAGCAATAAGAGGGAGGAGGCACACATGCTGACCTCGTGATGGTGAGCATGATGGAACGGTTTAGGATGGTGATACACATCTGCTTTGATTTCAACCATATCGCAAGCAACATCCTATGTCAACTTGTTTGAAGCACCAAAGCCTCATGAATTCGGTCAACTTGAACGTCATTTATAAGCTGCTGCCGTAGAGCCCTTCACTGACCATTCTATCAGACAAATTATTGTGATCACGGAGAGCTGGAGCCACCTGATTCTTCAGCCACATTTGGAAAACGATATCGTGCCACATACTGGTTCGTTCGTGGTTCCTGGTGCTTATCCAAAATCCACTCGACTTCTTTCAGTGCCTTCTGCTGATACGGAAACGGGTGATCCCATGACCCAATTTAGAACGAAGACATCCAATCTAAATAACCTCCTTAAGTTCAATTTTAGGTTTGGCCATTGCCGGTACCTCTAAGTAGTTGGTGACTTATATCTTCCGGTCAGTCTAATCGCTTTGTCGATATTCTCATATGACCGTTCCAAAGCTAGTCGCTAACTCGTTGGCGTGGGTGTAAATCCACAAAAGGAGAACCTACATACAGTGATGTCACCCGACACAACGGCACAAATAAGGTAGGAACTGACCTTTTGGATAAGACAAAACATCGGATGGCCGACGGCTTACAGACTACTTGGTTGCTGGCTAGGTGATACATCGACTAACAGTCATATAGTCGCCAACTCCAGAGCGACTTATTTTTTCACGTTACTGGAGGTAATACAATCCTGTGGGGAAAAGACTCTAGGAGCAGAAGGTATTGGTCTTTTTACCGCTTGAAACAGAAACTGGTTGGTGCACTCTCTTGTCTCAACTCTTGAAGAGTCTTAGTGCATAATGTATACATGCCTGCATGTGTGCATTTTTTTGCCAGTGTGCGCTTAATTCCTTGGTGTCTTACAACCCAAGTTGGCCCGCTGCCGAACTTCTCCACTTTTTCCTCATTCTTTAACTTGACATCCACACCAGTTTAATCCTTAGGAGAACGTTCTCTGTGAGGTAAACTAGCTCCGGCTAAGGTCGTATCATTTAAAAGGCACCCTGGTTCCTCAGCTTTAACCTCGGGGCAGTTAGACGGACCTCAACATTATTTGGATCATCAACTAGACCTATTGGCGAATTCCGTCTCGCACTCTTCCACGCAACCGGCTTGATATACGATTCCTGGATACAATCAACCTCCGTCCGCATGATTATCTGAACCCCGAGCTCCCGGTCCGGATGACCTTCCACCTGCACTGTTCAAAGACGGGAATGAGGTCCTCAGTCAGCGCCTGTCCGACCTGTTTGCTTGCATTTGGGAAAAGGAGTCT